CACGAGCGTCGCGGCAGTGGCCTGGTCTGTGTTTGTCAGACATAACCACCAGAATCCCAGCCGCCGACAACTACCCGTAAACGGAATTGAAAACACGGACTAATAGGCATCCTTTGGCCATTTCCTACGTACAGATAGATTCCAAAACTTGGTTGCACTGCGTCCCTGCCTGATTCGGGATCAAACCGGAGAAATGAGAATAGGTCAAAATCAAATGAGTCGCAAAAAATCCACAAAGGTTCGTAACTAGATCTCAAAAGCCAGCCGTGAGCGGGGAAAGAAGTAGCTGAAGTGTCAGCCGAATTTTTATGGGCTGGGGTTCAAGCAAAAAAAGCATTCTCTTGCTGACAATCACGGTAAAAGTGGCTGAGGGGGGCGCATTTGCCATTGCCTGAACTCCTAATCCTACAACGTCTCAGGATTCATATTTCCCATGTCCGTCCTCACGTCTTCCCTACCCTTGTCAACTTTCCCAATTCGATTGTTCCGCCTGACCTACTCTCTCGGCCGCACCAGGGTTTTGCTGAAGACTCCTAATGTATGCGGCTTTCAAATTTACTTTCAACACTGTTAAGCGTTCCCTTTGTTTGCCTTTTTGTTTTTTTCCTGAAACTGGTTCCACCCCTGGATTTCTCTTCATTTAGCACTTCAAGGACCATCCAGTCACCATGCATCCGACTTCAATCGCCCTGATTATGATCTCAACCTCATGCCTCATTTTGGCCTTCAAAGCCTACTGCATTGGCATGGTCTGGGATTGTCATCGGTACCTCCTATTAAGCAACAGGCTTGGTCCCCTTCGAGGTGCTAATGCGCGCAGACTGCCCTTCTTCTGGAGTGCTGTTTTCCGCAGAGGTTATCCTTCCACGGAGGACATTGATGTCGACCTAGAGACTAATCCTCAGGATGCCCCCGGCGCCTTCGCCGCACCCCTGCCCACAGAACCACTGGCAGAGTCTGCTCTCCCCAAATATGAGGTGCGTTCTGTTTTTTTACTAATACTACTGCCTTTCATTGTAGTTCATCCGCTGGAATTTTTGGTAAGAAGAAACCCTAGCTGCTTGACTGTTTCGTGGACCAGTTTATCAAGCCGCTTAGCACTATTCCAAGCTGCGAGTAGTCAGGCGCCATGATAGTCGATGCTCACGTCAGCAGGGGGATGTTGGGTGTTGCCAGCCTCAGTCCCTTCCCGCTGCCATCATTTCACAGTATCAAGAAAATCTTAAGCCATCTAAAAATGGAGTTGGGTGCATTGGCCGGCGGGTCATTTCGCTCGCATTTGTGAAGTTCCGCACAACATCCGAGCCGGATGTTACCCATTTAGCAGGCATGACGTGGATTTATTTCTAAATCCGACCTCACAATCCCCAGCTAATCCTTGTGTTTAAATTACAAACACAGGCGGAACAATTGGTCCGTATCGCTAGGGGGTGAGGACAATCTACAGTCATACTCGCCTCTTCTTCTTCTTCTTCTTCTTCTTTCTTCTTCTTCTTCTTCTTGCCATTGGAACACAGCAAATGTGAGAATGGAGATCAAGGTATATACAATGAAAGTCGGCTTCAGTATAATCACATCCTGGCTCAACTTACTCCTACGCCCTCTCCGGAAGTCTGTTTCCGTTGTTTGTAGTGAATAAACGAACAGGGCCGTTTCATAAAACTTGGGGTCATCCGCATGTGATTTCGTGCTGAACACATGGTTGATTGACCACTGCTTCTCCGTTTCATATGACTTGTTTAAAAAAACACCAGAAAGTGACAGACTGCTTTAGTCATTGTGTGTGTGGGGCCATCGGCCATCTAGGCCATAATGAATGAAATCCTCAACAACTATGCACTGAGCATGCCTCCTTTTCTGATGATGGTGCCAACTGTCCTATCTGTTTCTTGCTGCTTCATTAACGCAGCGCCTATGTAGACTTGTTTGGGTCACGCAAGATTTGGAAACTGCTACTACAGTAAAACCTGCTTAAAACTGTTCTCTGGAGTCTACTCTGCATTGGCCATCGCTGAGAAATGTTCATTATATTCATTTTAATGCATGCAAATTTGTTATTATCTTTTCATAAGGCCGTGTTAGGGAGATGTCGTCAAATCCTGCTATACCTTTGCCTGCATCGACTAGTATCAATGCCAGCATAACTGGCTCCAGAGTTTAATTATAAGAAAACAGCAAAAACCATCTTTTGCGCGGTCCTTTTACAGTTGATATTCACTTCTCGGACCTGGCATCCTCGTCAGGTCTGGCTTAACCATATCCTAGGCTGAATGAAATCACCGATAGAGATCTGGGGGACTGGAAAGACCGTTTATGGTCTGCAAATAGTAGAGAATATGCGAGTTCCAGGAAGCAGTTTAGAAGAAGATGCGATCACTGGAACAAGAGTTTTATTTGCCTGACGTTTCTACGCATGATTATGACTACGTTGTCATAACCTATGATTAAGGAATCCCCGAGAGAATCCGAAACGTCAGGCAAATAAAACTCTTGTTCCAGTGATCGCATCTTCATTTCTGGTTTATTAACTGTCATCAGCCGACCCTATCACTGAGTTCCAAGGCACAACGGGGCGAGTACGTCCCATAACGCGGTCAGTGAGCCCTCCACTGCAATGTCTTTTCTTCATACCGTCCTTATCGCGGATTTTGTGGCTTACCTTCTACGACTCTCCCTCTCAATCGATTCACTCAGCCAGCAGGTCCCCATTCCTTTAATCGGTTGTCTTCAAATGTAAAAAAATGTCTAAACCTCCTGCTCTCACTCATTCAAGATATGTCGTTACGATGGTTCTGTTTTGCCACCAGTTGTCTTTTCTTCACGCCTATTTTACTCCAATCCAAAGCCATTCGGAAGCACGTCGGCTCTCCCGGAAGCATACGCCGATGGTTTGAAGTCGGTCAGCCTGT